CATTTTGCTTCAATAACGAATTGAAAATATATGTATATATATAATAAATAATTCTATTTTCTATTCAATTGACGTTACATTCATCCCCATTATTCACCATATATATATTTTTAAAAAAAAATATTTGACTATATGTATCTGCAGTGAAATCATGTGTCAAAAACCGACTTGATTTTCTTTTTCTTTTGGGGCAATTCTGTGGATTGAAACTACCTACAGACGTAGCCAATGGTCATCTCGTTCACCTGACTAATCGTAGCGAGTGTTACTGCGGGCACCAGCCAATCGACTAAGCCGACTGGTAGACCGCAGCGATTTTCAACTTGAGCTTACAAAGATATATAAGTTCACGGTGCAACACTGCCACTTCATTCATTCGAGTTTGAATAATCTGAGGAGATAGCATGGCACGTACCAAGCAGACGGCACGAAAATCTACAGGAGGCAAGGCCCCCAGAAAACAGCTCGCTACCAAAGCTGCTCGTAAAAGCGCACCAGCCACGGGTGGCGTTAAGAAACCGCATAGATACAGGCCAGGAACTGTCGCCCTCCGTGAAATTCGGAGATACCAGAAGAGCACTGAGCTTCTCATCAGGAAGCTGCCATTCCAGCGCTTGGTCCGGGAAATCGCTCAGGATTTTAAGACCGACTTGCGTTTCCAGAGTTCAGCTGTCATGGCTTTACAGGAAGCAAGCGAAGCTTACCTTGTTGGTCTCTTTGAGGACACCAACCTGTGCGCCATTCACGCCAAGAGAGTAACCATCATGCCCAAAAGACATCCAGCTGGCCAGACGTATTCGTGGAGAGCGTGCTTAATTTTAAGCTGTATTTCAAGTCCTAAAGCAAACGGCCGTTTTCACGGCCACCTACATTCTTCGAAAAGATGCCTTCTGTTCAGACGTTGAAACATCTCTGAAAATAATGTTGAATTATTTGGCCGAAATTAATAAATTTTGTCAAATTCGGCGTACAATGCCCCCAAATTGAAAAAAAAAAAAAAAAAAAATGTTGAGACACAGTACATCCTTCAGTGAATATATCTGTGCCTTACATATATATAATTACATAGCACAATGCTAGACAATTTCATAGTATTATTGTCATCATCAAGTTGTAGAAGTTGTCTACACATCTTGAAACTATATTTTGTACAAGTCCATCAACCTGCCCCTCTAGAATACATTCAAGAATTTTGCGAAATAAATTAGAAAAATAGCACAATTATTTAAATAGAAAATGATGGAATGTGTCGAAGCAAAAAATAATAACAGTATTACAACTTTATCTCATTAGTTCTACAGCTATGCACATATGCGAGTACATGCATTTCAGAACTGCAATTCCGTATTTCATTTATATTCAAAGTATGATTTTTATTGATTTCTAAACAACGTCAAATATAACGATATTCATTCTAACGTGGCGTGTAATAAAATGAAAAAGGCTCATTTATAAAGCCGGTTTGGTCACTGCTTAAAGTTGCCTTTGAAAATTAACTGAGAAAAGAGGAAATCAAATAAATTATCACATCTATAACTAGATATCATAAATGAATGAGAATCAAAAGTTTCATTCAGCTTCTACATTTTGTATTATTTCGGTGTTATCTGTCACACCCCTTTCCTTTGAATAACTTAATCCCCACCCACCCACCCACACACGTTTTTATTATCATTCGGCAACAACGGTATTTATTTTGTTAAACTCAAAGCAAAAAATACTGAAATAAAAAAATAACAACAACAAAACAAAAAATTGTGTATGTTTATCCTAAAAAATTATGATGCTGTCTGTCCTGCTTGATATAATTCCCCTCTCTCTCTTTTATCATTTTTATTCATTTTCTGTCATGTTTTTTTTTTTTTTTTGTATATCAGTTTGTATAAAATGTATATATGTACCTCCACGTACCAATATTTTGGTTTAGGTGAATAAATTGAACCTAAACTTGCCTATATGTGAAGAAATTAAAGAATCAAAATTAATTAAATGTGGTTAAAATTCCCGTGGGGCAAGAAATGTAAACATTCCCATCATGCCAAGCTGACCAATCGTAAAGCTTGTCACAATACCGCTTTGGTAACGTTCCGAACTTTTCAAAGCATCGTGCGCTCTCACGGGTCCTCAATTTGGACTATAAATTAGGCAATTACGCATGATCAGTTCATCAGAACAGTACTACTGGCTGAACTTATAACATGTCTGGACGTGGCAAAGGAGGAAAAGGTCTTGGAAAAGGAGGCGCTAAGCGACACAGAAAAGTCTTGAGAGACAACATCCAGGGTATCACCAAGCAGCCATACGCCGTCTTGCTCGCCGTGGTGGTGTCAAACGTATTTCCGGTCTCATCTACGAGGAAACTCGTGGAGTTTCTTAAGGTTTTCTTGGAGAACGTGATCCGAGATGCTGTAACCTACACGGAGCATGCCAAGAGAAAGACCGTCACAGCTATGGACGTGGTCTACGCCTTGAAACGCCAAGGACGCACCCTGTACGGATTTGGAGGCTAAAGAATTCAGTTTGACAGTCAAGACAGAAGTTTAAAACAAACACAAACGGCCGTTATCACGGCCACCCAAATTTTTCGAAAAGATGCCTCTTAAACATCGTTAAGACAGACATTTACTTACTGAGTACTTGTTATACAGATATTCACTGTACAAAGTTGAATACAGAATGGTTGTAAGTGGTAAAATAAATACACAACAATAACAGAGTAAGACCCTTTATGTCGTAATATTTCCTCAAAACTATATACAGAGCAACAAATATGTATTGAATTTAGGTTTGGACAAGAAATATTGAATAAACACACACAAACAGTATATATTATTTAATTTTTTTTTATTATTATTAATCATATATTAAAATAATAATGCTGCTGTCTTGAGTATTATTTTGAGGGATCGATCTACCGACAATGACAGGTACCAACTGGCGCTGAGTGACATGCTTTTTTTTTCTTGTTTAACAATTATGACTAATGTTAGACAATTAATTGTCAATGTATAATTATCGCATTTTGGTCATTGCACTTTTATTGATGTATAATTACTGATTGAAAATTCCAATATGTCAATGTCAAAGAAAGGGGAGGGGGGGGGGGTCTTGAATTTATTTATCTGTTTCATTGATATTAGCTGAATTGAGATACTTTATTATCAATTATATAATGTACGCTGATAATTAATTCAGTATACAGAGGACAAATGAACCAGGATTTTGTGTACATCAGATGGACCTCGCATGCTTGTATTTTATTTATATTTGAAGATACAGTTATTTTAGATATATGCTTGGTTGTACATTCAAGTTATTTGTGAATAAAATTTGGCTCTCATACATAATAATAATACCTACTTGTATTTCTTTATTTATCCTACTTCTGTTATTATAATCAGTTGTAAACAATGTGGGATTTTTATACGTTTGCCACTTTTACGAGCACATGCATTCACATTGTAACACTCACACATATTATTTGTGTCTCAATAACGCATGTAATATGAAGGTATCTTTTCTTAAAAATTAGTTGGCCCTTAAAAGGGCCGTTTGGTGTGTGTACTTGCAAAATGAGATTATTTGCTGCTGGTGTACTTGGTGACGGCTTTGGTGCCCTCAGATACGGCGTGCTTGGCCAGTTCACCGGGCAGAAGGAGACGGACAGCAGTCTGGACCTCTCTGCTTGTGATTGTAGATCGCTTGTTGTAGTGGGCCAAACGAGAGGCTTCGGCAGCGATTCTCTCAAAGATATCGTTGACGAAGGAGTTCATTATGCTCATGGCCTTGCTGGAAACACCAGTGTCAGGGTGCACCTGCTTTAGGACTTTGTAGATGTAAATGGCATAAGATTCCCTCCTCCTCTTCCTCCTTTTCTTGTCTGTGCTCCTCGGTGTCTTGGCCTTGGTGACTGCTTTCTTGGCGCCTTTGGATCCGACTTTGGGTGGCATGATCTCAAGTTGACAGGTCAAACTGAAGAGATGAATAAAGTAAAATGGTAAAATTTACTATTTATATGCGAGTAGGAGGAGAAGCTTGTTACGGACCTCCGAGAAAACATTACTTGTTCGGATTTCACCTAAAGGCACAACAGAGCGACGCGTTAATTGGCTGCACCGTTGGATCCGCTTGGTTGTTTTAAATTGGTGCGTGCGGGCGTCGCTGGATTATTCGTTGACTGTACACGAAAGAACATAACCGTTAAGAATGTCTGGACGTGGCAAAGGAGGCAAAGTGAAGGGGAAGGCCAAGAGCCGTTCTTCCCGCGCCGGACTGCAGTTCCCCGTGGGTCGTATTCACCGTCTGCTGAGAAAGGGCAACTACGCCGAGAGAGTGGGAGCAGGCGCTCCCGTGTACTTGGCTGCCGTTCTTGAGTACTTGGCCGCAGAAGTCTTGGAGTTGGCAGGCAACGCTGCCCGCGACAACAAAAAGACCAGAATCATTCCCCGTCATCTGCAGCTGGCCATCCGCAACGACGAAGAATTGAACAAACTCCTGTCCGGCGTGACCATCGCGCAGGGTGGTGTCCTGCCCAACATCCAAGCGGTGCTCCTTCCCAAAAAGACACAGAAAGCCGCCAAGTAAAAAGATCCTATAGTTGTGTTGTGTGCAGCACAAAACCAAACGGCCGTTTTCACGGCCACATAAGCTTTTCGAAAAGATACCTACATTACAAACGAGTTGAAACGTAAACAATTATTATAGCTAGAAAATAATAGAAACACACGAATTCAATAATTTTCAACACAGAACAGAGATCAAACATCAAAGAAAGTGTTATATATTTAATGATAAATAAATGTATTAAGTTTAATAACAAAAGCAATAAATTTTAAAATTGACTCGCATGTATATTCGTATATGTACGTTTTTTTCTTTCTCGTTATAGGCAGTTGAATCCAAACCTTATAGGCCTGCGTACAAATGTTGAATTCTCACGTATTACTTGAATGCTCACTCAACAAAGAGATAAGAAAAAAAAAAACCCATTTCATTGACCAATTAAGACTAGAAACTGCGAAAATCATCTAACATGGCGATCTAACTTTCAATTTTTTTCCTTTGATACAAATATTTTTAAATATGATCATTATTTTATTAACATATTCAAAAGATCTGTAACTCCAGTTAAATCCTTAATGTTTCTTTTTTTTCCCCCTCGCTATTGTTTTATATGATGATTATTTAGACAAAATTCCTAATTGATAAAAATAGATAAAAGTTATGAATATAAGAATCTCATAAGAATAAGAAGATGTGGTTTATATTATGTCTTGAATGTTCTTATTCAAAAAAGTGTGCTTCCCATAATAAGAGTGAATAAAAGCAACTCGATGCCAGTTTCCGGATACTTACAGTACTAACACAATTAAAAACTGGTAGTAAATTTTCTTTCGAATAGACTACCGATGCGAATGACTAAACGACATTTTTTTCAACACTTTACATTTATTGCGATGTCCATCACTGCGCCGTGCAGCACATCTGCATCGTCACGTGACATATAGATGCAGGGAATCATGATCTGCACGTGGAAAGTGTGCAACCAATTTGATGCTTCTATCAATGTATTGTATTGTCTTGTATTATATACTGGTTGTCTTGTTCAACTTGAAAGATATAGATTTTAAATACATTGGCTTTTGACCACATTCTGTTTATTTACATGTACTCAATTATTTGTGTGTGTAAATTACAAGAAACAAATTAATATCAATGAATAAGCTACTCCCATTATTCGCCTTGTTCGTCTCTCTCTGTCTCTCTCTTATGTATAACTACTAATTAAGTGAGTGTTCTACAATTATTAAATACACGCCCTTTTTATGTGATTTTTTTTTTTCATGTAATTTACAAGGATGTCAGTTATGTATATTCTTATGATATAAATTATACTGAGAAATTCAGACGTTGTACCACCGAATGTGGTACGTTGTTACGTACGGTCTGGATCTTTCCGGTGTCCTCGGTGTTATAATTATAAAGTAGGTGTCATGTATTTAAATATTCGAAAAGAAATTATATGTTGTCCCTTTAAGGGGGTGAACATCCACTGATCTAGAAAGTATATTAGATATATATTTGAACATTCAACAATTTGTGAGATTCCGTGATTTCCCTTCATATGACCCTTTTGTTTGATTGTTTTTTTTTCTCTCTCTCTCCATTTCATATGAAATGCAAGGCACACATCACTATCCATTGTGCGCGTGTTTGTGCCGAATGTTTGCATTTTCATTCGGATTTTAAGTAACATAGAAGACAATTGAAAGAAATGTACATGTATGTTTTATCACATAGCAATGTAGTAAGTACTTCAATCCCTTACTCGTGTTCTATTCCTCTTGTTTTCGTGTTTTAATCAAAATTAGTCGCTTCTGGGCTCCAGGGAACAGCGCATTTTCAGAATCAACAGACAATTCCTCCTTTAAAATGACAGATTAAGAACCTTAAACAAAAACAGTTATGTAGGAAATTATTTCAAGAAAACGCACAGTGACATATTTGAGAAAATTAAGTAAAATTGGGAGGACAAAATCGGAAAAATAACAGGTATTGAAACACAAAGTTTGACGAGTTCAATCCTCTACGCTCTCGACAATTGGGGAGTTTTCACGGAGGTCCGCGCTCGCCGCCACTCAAATAAGGCCATCGGCGGAGGTGATTTCATTCATTTCCTTATCGTCGATAACGTCGTTCACATCAGTTGTAGAAAACAGGACAAAAAAATTATGGCAGACGCCGCACCAGCAAAATCCCCCGCCAAGAAGAAGGTTTCCAAACCCAAGACGGTCCCCGCCCATCCCAAGTACATCGAGATGATCAGCGCTGCTGTGGCTGCCCTGAAGGAGCGCGGAGGTTCCTCGAGACAAGCTATTCTCAAGTACATCATGGGCAACTACAAAGTCGGTAATGACGCCTCTAGTGTCAACACCCATCTGAAGATGGCCCTCAAGAACGGAGTCAAGAAGGGAGTTCTCAAACAGGCCAAGGGTACAGGTGCCAGTGGTTCCTTCAAGCTGGGAGAGAAGCCCAAGACGGAGAAGAAACCCAAGACCAAAAAAGTCACCAAACCTAAGGCTGCCAAGCCCAAGAAAACGACCAAACCCAAGAAGACAACCGGGGAGAAAAAGCCAACAGAAAAGAAAAAGGCTGTTAAGAAACCTGCAGCACCCAAGAAGGCCAAGTCTCCCAAGAAGAAAGCAGCTACTAAGTCTCCCAAGAAAGCCAAGGCAGCTCCAAAGCCTACGAAAACCAAAGCGCCCAAGAAAGCCACAGCCAAGAAGTCAAAAACCCCAAAGAAAGCCACCAAGGCGTAGACTGCCAATTGTCTTAAACCAATTACAAAAGCCCTTTTCAGGGCTACCAACATTTTTAGAAAAGATGCCTCTATTACATACATGTACTAATGGAAACACAAAATGAATAAACAAGAAGTACACTTACCTATTACACATAGTTTATTTGTCTTCGACTGGAAGCAAATTGCAAAGTCATGATAATATTAACA